CTGACACGGTTCGCTTGGTCTTCGACGTTGGAGGCCTTGCCCCTGACTGGTTTCCTCTTGTTCAGACGTACGGCCCTGCCCTTTTGGGCTTGTCAGCTTCTCAGTTGCTTGATCTCTTAGGAACTCCTCATGCTATGTATGCTGTTGTTGAATCTATTGCTTCTGACTCTGTTTACTCGAGTGTTGCTAGCTTAGGTGCTTGTCTTGCTGAGTTGCCTCTTGCTAGTGTAGGCACTTGTGTAGACACTAGTCTAGGAGCTCGTTCGGAGGACCCTTCGCTGTCTTTCACTTTGGACTCTGGGGCTTCGCACTGCTTCTTCAGGGACCACACGACACTTACTCCGCTTCCTACGCCGGTCTCTGTAGCACTGGCTGATCCCACCCCAGGACCAGTCATTGCTCGCTACACTACTACTCTTCCAAGCCCTGCTGTTCCCTCTGGGTCTCTGACTGGCTTCCATGTCCCCTCGTTCTCGAGGAACTTGGTGGGCGTGAGGCCTCTTGTGAGTCAGCACGTGGGTGTGTGGATTGAGCCCTCTAATGAGACGGCGGTTTGTGTTGACGGAGACACTTACGCGCCTCTTGCCACCTTAACAGCGGAGCCGGGCTCAGGTCTCTAGACACTTCACGCTGACCCTGGTGTGCAGCAGCAGCACCGACTCCTGTCCCCGGCCCCGGTTACTTCCCCCAGTCTGGTCTCTGCGTCTCATTAGGTTGCTGCGTCCCCCCAGGTAGCTGTGTCTGGTCAGGTTCCCGTGTCTGGTCCAGTTGCTGCGTCGTGCTCCTGCCGGTCGCTTGCTCACCCCACCGTTCTATGGCACCACCTGATGGGGCACCCGTCCCTCCCTCGTCTGCGCGCTATGTCTCGTCAGCATCTTGTCTTAGGCCTCCCGCGTGTCTTGTCGTCGCTGCCGCCTTTGCTTGCACCGCCGTGCGGTCACTGCGTCGAGGGTCGGCTGCGCGCCACCCCTCACTCCTCCTCCCTTCGTCCGACCACCGAGCCTTTTGAGACGCTCCACTTGGATGTCTGGGGCCCCGCTCCTCGCCTTGGCCCTGAGTGTGAGCGTTTCTTTTTGGTGGTTGTTGACGACTTCTCCCGCTACACCACAGTGTTCCCCCTGGCGAAGAAGTCTGAGGTGACTTCTACGCTGATCAGGTGGTTGCTTACCACTGAGGGCACTCGTGGTCGTTGTGTCAGCTGTCTTCACTCTGACCGTGAGGGTGAGTTTCGCTACGGCATTCTCGCTGGATTCTGTCGCGAGCAGGGCATTAGTCAGTCCTGGACGCTTCCAGAGTCCCCACAGCAGAATGGGGTTGCTGAGCGCCGCATAGGCTTGGTCATGGAGATCGCCCGCACCTCCTTGACTCACGCCCGTGCCCCCCATTTTTTGTGGCCCTACGTGGTTAGGTACGCCGCTCACCAGCTGAATTTCTGGCCACGCGTCTCTCGGCCAGAGGCTTCACCGACCAGTTTTTGGACCGGGTCCCCTGGTGTTGCGTCGAGGTTTCGTGTCCAGGGTTCCTTGGCTCTTGTCCGCGACACTTCCACGGACAAGCTCTCGCCTCGCGCCGTTCCCTGTGTCTTCCTTGGTTTCCCTGAAGACTCCTCTGACTTCACCTTTTATCACCCTCCCTCTCACCGGTTCTTTGACTCTCGTGACGTCCGTTTCGAGGAGTCCACCCCCTACTACGTCAGGTACCCCAGTCGAGGTCTCCCGGTTCCTCCTCCCCCTCTCTTCCTGACTTCCGCTCCCCCTCCTGCTCCCCCGATACAGCCCCCCCCCCTCGGTCCCACCCTGTCAGGTGTGTCCCAGGCTACCCCTCCCCCCTCGGTAGCCCCTCAGGTGCAGCCTCCTTCCCCGCAGTCCTCCTCGCAGCGTGCTGCGGACCCTGTGGGAGCCGGTGCTCGTGGAGAGGGCCCTACAGGTGTTAACTCTGGGGGTGCTGGAGTTGGAGCTGAGCCCGTGGTTGCAGGGGACTCTTGTCTTCCGGGAGCTGGTGCTGGCCCTGCTGACTTTGGGGGTGCTACGTCTGGGGGTGCGGGTGCACCCTCTTCGGGTCTTGGTGAGCCTAGTTGTGTTGCTGTTGGTGGTGCTGACTTTGGGGGTGGTGCGCCAGGTGCTTTGGAGGGCGGTCCCGGGGCTGCCGCAGCCCCCGACACTACTCCTCCCCCCCACCCCTACCCGACCCGGCACCAGGCTCGTGTTCGCCGTGCCCGTGAGGAGCAAGGAGTTGGAGAGAGAGGAAAAAGAGCTGCAGCGGCTGGAGGAGCAGCACGAGCAGCAGGAGCAGGTGCAGCAGCCGCAACTGGAGCCGCCGCAGCGGCAGGAGGCGCAGGAGCTGGAGCCACTACAGCAGCAGGAGGAGCAGCAGCAGCCGCCGCCGCCGCCGCAGCAGCAGCAGCCGCCGCCTCCTCCTCCTGTCTACGATCTTCGGGCCCTCGGTCTCCCCTCCCGCTCTCCTTCCTCCTCCCCCTCTCCTCCCGTCTCGAGTCCTCCGCTTCCTCCTCCTGACCCCTCTCCACCTGTTTTCCCTCATTCTCAGTCTTCGTTGTCCCCTCCTCCTTCTCAGACTTGGGCCTCTCATCGCTCCCCTCGTGCTCGTTCCACGTCCCCTGTTCCCTTCACTGACCTTCGTACTACCTCACTTCATTCTAGTCCGCCTCGTCCATCTCCGTCTGTGCTTCCGTCTCCTCCTGAGTCGGCCCTTACTGCTTCGCTTTCTACTCCTGTCACTGACTACTACCGCACGTACCGTCCTGTTCTCTCTCGTGTTCTCGCCTCTCTTATTACCCACCCTCGTGCCTCTGTATCCTCTGTCTCCGCTCTTACAGCCGCAGTCACCGAGTTTGCCTATACTCGCCGCCTTGACTTCGCCACTAGTCTTGTGGCTGCTCCTCCTTTCAGTCCTCTGGCCGTCGGGGGTGTGTCTGCCCTTGGCTGTGACGCCCTAGAGGATAGGCAGTTTGAGCTAGAGTTCCTAGAAGCCTCTTCCCCTCATCTCTGTGCCATGCTGCTCGCCCCTGAGGGAGACCCCGACGCCCTTGACATACCGACTCCTCGCACTTACGCTGAGGCAGTGTCACGGCCTTGGGCCTCTCACTGGAGAGCTGCCATGGACGCAGAGATGGCTTCCTATAGATCCACAGGCACCTACGTCGACGAGGCTCCCCCCCCTGGGGCGAACGTAGTCGATGGCTTGTGGATCTACAGGGTGAAGCGGCCACCGAGATCTCCTCCGGTCTTCAAGGCGCGCTACGTGGCTAGAGGTTTCAGTCAACGCGAGGGAGTTGACTTCTTTAAGACCTTCGCGCACACCCCGAAGATGACTACTCTTCGGGTGTTATTGCACGTAGCGGCACAGAGAGACTACGAGTTACACTCTCTCGACTTCTCCACTGCGTTTCTTAAGGGTAGCCTACACGAGGAGGTCTGGCTGCGTCGTCCCTCTGCCTTCACTGGCACTTTCCCTCCTGGGACCCAGTGGAGGCTGAGGCGACCGGTCTACGGTCTCCCTCAGGCTCCTCGTGAGTGGCACGACACCCTTCGTTCTACTCTCACTGCCGACCCGTCGCTGTTCGTTCGTCGTGGCTCCACACCTTTCTTTGTTCTAGTCTACGTCGACGACCTGGTTTTCGCCACTGCTGACAGGGTTGCCTTGGTAGACGTGAAGTCCGAACTGCAGAAGAGACACACGTACACTGACCTTGGTGAGCTGCGTCACTATCTTGGCCTGCAGATCACCAGGGACAGAGCTGCTCGCACCATTACACTCTCACAGTCACACATGGTGCAGCAGGTCCTTCAGCGGTTCGAGCTTCAGCACTCCACAGTACAACGCACACCTCTTGCTGTTGATCACAGACTCACCCCTTTCCTGACGAGCCGTTTCAGACCAGAGGTTCCTACGCAGAGCTAGTGGGCTGCCTCATGTACCTGATGACTTGTACTTGCCCGGACCTCGCCTTCCCTCTCAGCGTCCTTGCCCGCTTTGTTGCGCCACTGAGGCACCGTCCTGTTCACTGGACAGCAGCTGTGAGGGTGGCGAAGTACCTAGTGAAGACATCAGGCGTGGGGCTAGTTCTTGGAGGGCAGCAGCCTGTCGTACTTACTGGTCACTGTGACTCTTCTTACACTGACGACGCTGAGACTCACAGGTCTACTCAGGGGTACTGTTTCAGCTTGGGTTCTGGAGCTGTTTCCTGGCGGTCCACGCGCTCCTCGTCGGTCTCGACCTCTACAGCTGAGGCTGAGATCTACGCTGGTGCCATGGCGGCACAGGAGCTGCGTTGGTTGACGTTTTTGCTCGCTGACCTTGGTGAGCGGCCGAGCTCTGCACCGACCTTGTTCACTGACAACAAGGCGTCGATTCTTCTCTGTCGTGAGCCGCGACTGGAGAGCAGAGTGAAGCACATTCACGTCAGGTACTTCCTTTTGCGAGAGTTGCAGAGACGTGGACAGGCTCGCTTCGAGTTTGTGGAGTCCGAGGCCAACACTGCAGACATCTTCACCAAGGCGCTTTCGCCTTGTGGCCACCAGAGGTGTTGTGTGCAGTTAGGCCTTGTTGTCACATGTTCTAGTCGTGTATAGGCTTGAGTTTACTGTTTGTTTTGCTTTTACTCTTGCTATAGACACTTGTGAACTCTTGGACTGGCCTTGTGGCCACTGTTGCTTATGCACAAAGTGTGAGGTGACATTGTGATCCACCCTGAGCTTTGCATATTTGTGATTGGTCTTGTGACCATACACTTTTGGTTTTGCTAGACACATCTCACTTAGGCTATGGGGGTGTGTCAAATGTTGTAACCTATAATGAGGTTTATCTTAGGGGGTACAGAAGTTAGGGTTTGTCATATGTACCCCAACTGACATCAATGACATCATCACTTCTTTTCTTGACAATTTTCACCACATTTAGGATAACACCACCGGGTTATCTAACCGGGAGACTACGGTAATAGAGTGATATATACATTGTGTAGAAACAAACGGCTTTTCTGGTCAAATTCTGCAACTCCCGATTCGTGCCTTGTTTGCACTTGGAGTACAAATCTTGACTCCAGGCTTTAACTTATCCACACATTCATACCCATTCATTCGCCTGTAGCAGCCCTTGATACTGTAGAAGTACTTGACATTGATGTACTTGCAGTCATCCCCTGGTGAGATGGTGTAGGTGCTGGTTCTGGAACACATGCCTGCTGTGAAGTTGGTGATGCTGCCAATGCACACCTGCAGGCACGAGAAAATAGAAAAATGGGAGACGGCAAGAAGCGGACATGATATGGCGCAACATGTCACTGTGAAGTTGGTGACGTTGCCAGGAGAAACAGCGAGCAAAAAGCATTTGCAGAGTGCGTGGAGGACAGACTTTGTCTGGGGGCTTGACTATGGTCTGAGGGCTATCTTCATTTGGCCCGCTTTGCACAGTGGCTCCATTCCTGACTTGCTTCTAAATGTTCTCGAGGTGAATGGTGTCAATCTGCCACCACCCCTGGTCAGGGTTCCATCCGATCCTATCGTGATAGGCTAAACTTTGCTCTAACATTTACTGACCAGGCCATTAAGCCCGTGGTTTATACACGGACCAATGAGCATATAGCCAGTTGACAATTAAATGCCCACCCTAAATTCCGTCAACCTTGGTAAAAGCGCACTCAGGTCCAAATGGACTCGGAACAACCATGGGCTAAATTGCCACTTGGCCAATGTGTGCTCGTTCCAAGAGAATTTGCCAGACATGTCAGAAAAAAACATGACTAGCTCACCTGACATAATTACCACTGGCAGGCCTGTCCAACGAAACTGCCTTGACATTCCTGTGCCATCAACTCCTAGCAAGCATTGCTGCGACCATGCCAGGTGCACGCCTGCGTGGCCAGCACTGCTGCCGCTGTGGCAACATTGCATCACAGCGCTTGAAGTGCCCGAAATCTAAAAGTACGGTTTGATTGTCCCATGGACTTGAAAAAAAAAACCAAGGAGCCTTTTGATTGTTTTCTATAAGCCCACCTGGGCTTTTATCTGGGGGACGACAGCAATATGGTTGGTCTTATCATCTCTGGCTATGCTCTAACGCTTCTCAAGCATCAACATTTCTCAAGTCACCATCTCATTGTCCCCCGTCTGTGCGCCACCTGTTGCTTGTGCCATCCTTAGCCTATTCTATGCCACTTCTACGGTGGTCATCCCTGGCAGCACCTTGTGTGTTGCCTGCACCATCTGCACGCTACCTGCTCACCACTTGTCCACCCAAACCAACTCACCATTCTTCCCCTCCTCCTTCATCCCCTTTGTTTAAAGCAGCTGGTCACTGCTTACCATTTCCTCGTCATCCTCTTTTTCTCAGTCCCCACTTTACTGCTCAGAAGCCGTTCCCCTTCAGAATGCACCCACCTCTTCATCCTCCTCCAGCTGCTCAGAACCTCTCTCGTCCTCATGGCCTCTTCCTCTGGCATGCATTTCTTCCCTTGCTAGTCCTCCACCTTGCATTGCACTCAATAGTAGCGGAGTAGATTTTCCCAGGTGGCTAAACTGCCTCAAACACATGGAGTTTCGCCCTCTTGTGACTGACTCTGGTCTGGCACTTGGCAGGAAAACCTCCCTTCTATCTCGTCGTCCCTTGTCCCTCCTCTCACAATAATGGCACTGGCGTTGTCGGCCTTGGGAGTGGCACTGAGGGCACTGATTGAGCAGGTGGCGGCCATTGTCCAAGCGGCTGTTGACACGTCGACTTTGAAGCCGCCGCGTGTGGACTCCGGTGGTTTAATCTGACAATTTCGACTCCAACTGTACACACCTTCCTACCAAGTTGGCTTGGCCGTGTGACTGAATCGCTCAACTCAACTACATTGTATCCCGAGTCTCCTCTTCCCCACATAACATTGCACCACATTGCTGCATCATACCCATTCACCACAATGCGTGCACCATACTGCATTCACCAGAATCCATGCACCATACTCCATGCACCACAACCACAGTGCATACACCACACTGCATGCACCACAGTGACGCACCTCAGCACCAAAGGTGGTGGCGGAGCGGGAGTGGTTCTTGAGGGGGATGAGCTGGTTGCAGTTGACGCCGGGGTTGAGGCGGTAGAAGGCCACAGGGCTGAGAGGAGGCTCCGCCAGCTGCCTGATGCTGTCGCATGTGTCGTTGAGGCGCGCCCGGTAGTACTGGTCGCACACCACTGTCACATTCGCCACCCCGGGGTCCCTCTCGATGCACACGGCCTGGGAGGGCCTCAGGGAGGAGCAGTCCACAGCGGGGTTGAGCGCCTGAAATGCCGCCTCACACGCCGCATCCGACGCCGCCGCCCCACACAGCTCCACCTGCCGCCCTACTCTCGTGCACGTGTCGCCCTGGAGGCACATGTGAAGGCAGAAGGACATCACAGGAACAAACAAAAGAGCACGAACTGAAAGGGGAAACGCTCATCCAGAGTGGGTCAATATTGTGCTGAATTGAAAAAGCATGCTGGACGTGAGGTGTGAAACAGACTTTGGAATAGCAGCTCGTGGAGCCACCGTTGCTGCTGTGTGCTGCGTGCTGTCTGCATGCGCAGTGGCTTATGGCTAAAGTTAATCGCCCACTGGAGCCCTCACAAGCAAGGTGGTGTAGAAGACAGAGCAGGGTTGCACTGTGGAGTTGACACGCAAGGTTGAGTTGAGACGCAGAGGAGCAGAGCATGTGATACCCTGTGAGGCATTCAGGGGACGATGGCACATGCATGGGATGATGGCACATGCAGGGGATGATGGCACATGCATGGGATGATGGCACATGCATGGGATGATGGCACATGCATGGGATGGGGGCACACGCGAGAGACAATGGAGGATCAGGAACACTCGCACTGTCCTGCATGAAAACCAATGGTGAACTCAAGTATGTGCTGCAGGCAGGCACTCAGGTACCGTACTATGCATGAAACCGATAGGTGCTGTGCAGCACTCAGGTACCTTGTTCTGCTGCAGGAACTGGTCCAGTGTGAGGGCGAATATGGGATGCACATGGGAGCACCACACGTTGCTCTGTCGCACTGTGTACACCCCCCCTGCATCCCCTGCACCACACCACAGCGACACACACATTGGATTCCCAGCCCGACCAAGTCAGTGGAGTGAAAGATGCAGCAGAGCAACAAGGAAGGTGTTACTGGGATTGAAGGACGATAGTGGTCACCAGACGGGGATTGTATCCAGACATGCAGCGTTGCCCGGAACAGAGGAGAGAACATGTAGGAGGATGTTATTACCCGGAACACAGGAGGAGGGCAGAACATGGTTGCAACTCGGAACACAGGAGGAGGGCAGTAGAGGGCAGCAGAGGGGTGGTTACCCGGAGCACAGGAGGAGAGAGCAGGTACCCGGAGCACAGGAGGAGAGAGCAGGTACCCGGAGCACAGGAGGAGAGAGCAGGTATCCGGAGCACAGGAGGAGAGAGCAGGTAACCGGAACACAGGAGGAGAGAGCAGGTACCCGGAGCACAGGAGGAGAGAGCAGGTATCCGGAGCACAGGAGGAGAGAGCAGGTAACCGGAACACAGGAGGAGAGAGCAGGTACCCGGAGGACAGGAGGAGAGAGCAGGTACCCGGAGCACAGGAGGAGAGAGAAGGTACCCGGAGCACAGGAGGAGAGAGCAGGTACCCGGAGCACAGGAGGAGAGAGCAGGTACCCGGAGCACAGGAGGAGAGAGCAGGTACCCGGAGCACAGGAGGAGAGAGCAGGTACCCGGAGCACAGGAGGAGAGAGCAGGTACCCGGAGCACAGGAGGAGAGCAGCACAGGGGTGTTACCCGGAGCACAGGAGGAGAGCAGCAGAGGGGTGTTACCCGGAGCACAGGAGGCGGTGTTGGCGAGGGTGGTGCCCTGGATGAACCCCGGGGGACACACACAGGAGTAGCTGCCCTTGCCATCGTTCACACACGTGCCCACCACACATGGGTTGCGAGTGCTGGACCCACACACGTCCACTGGAGGTGAAGAGAGAAAAGTGGGGGCGGCATGTGCGCATGCATGAGGAGCATGGACAGAGGGCATAGGGAGGTGGATGGGAAGAGCATGCTGTGGGCGTGGGAGGAGGTGAGTGAGGAAGCATAAAAGAAATGAGCACGGGAATGGGTGTACAGAGCACACATAGGCATGGGATGGGGTGACATTGGCCAGGTGCAGGTGCAGTACGCATCCATACACAGGGTGAACCGAATAGTGTGAAGTCTCCAAATCACTGAGTGCGCGTGCATGTGCACATCACCAGTGACCCTCCCATGGTTTGTGTTACCATAGGCACAGGTGTACGACCCATCGGTGTTCTTGACTTGAGCAAAGCGGGCGTCAGTGCACTTGCAGCGATTGCTGGTGCCCTTCTTGCTGCAGTTATACCGCCCACACGGGTTGAAGGCGGGGCCTTGAATGCTGTACTGGAAGGAGCGTGACCCACATGGATCAGCACTGCCTGCTCAAAATCAAATCAAGTGGGAATGCGGTGTGGGCACATGGTTCATGCGCTATGGTACAGACAAACGGTAAATTCACCATCCGTTCGCACAGGGGTAAATGATTAGCCTCACTTCTAACAACAGGGAAGAGGCCTGGGAGAGTGTTGATGCCGCAGATGCCGTCGCCACTGCGAATGTCCATGCGCATGTGGCCCTGGTCGCCCCAGCCTGTGCCCCATGAGTTGCGGATGATCCAGAAGGGCGCCAGCACGGAGGTGGAGGGGTCGGAGCCCGCAGAGAGGTAGCCCACCACCAGCACCACGTGGTTCAGGTGGTTGCTGAAACACTCCTCGTCCGCGTACTTGCCTCTCTGCCCACACACACATAGAGTCACCAGCACACACACACACGCACACACGCGCGCGCGCGCACGCACGCACGCACGCACGCACACACGCATCCACGCACACACACACACATGCACACACGCACACACGCGCACTTATACACGCACGCACATACACACACACACGCGCGCGCGTGCACACACACACACACACACGCAAAAAGACAAACGCACACACACACACACACACACACACACACACACACACGCATGGACGCACGCACGCACGCACGCACGCACGCACGCACGCACACATGCAATCATGCACGCGCGCGCACACACACAAGTATGAAACGTATGATCAAATGTCAGCGCAACAGCACCCAACATGCAGTGGTAGGCAAAAGGTAACTTGTAGTTAGGGATGAGCAAGGTGGCGAACACCGTTCGAGGCGAACCGAACAGGTTTTGTTTTTTAGCTCAAATCGTTCGCCGAACAGTGTTCGATGTTCGCCCGAACACGTTCGTGTTCGGGCCGCTGCTGAAATTTGCCCGCGACGAACAAGAACAGTGTTCGAGGTTCGCCCGAACACGCCTCCACAGGCGAACAGCGAACACCTGTTTTTTCCTAAACTGTTCGCCGAACCGAACACTGTTCGGTTCGGCAAAAGAGGGTGTTCGACAAGGGGCGAGGACGAACATGTTCGTGTTCGCCCTTTGCTCATCCCTACTTGTAGTTACCGCTATCCTAGGAAGAGGGTGCCATACCACATCGTAGTCTTGGAAGGAGAATACCTTATGTTGCAATATGATACCTCGGGGTCCTCTACCACATCCAAAGGCTAGATATTGAGGTGCACTTGTTCATTCTATTGAGGTGGTGTTGGACGCAAGCTTGACCAACCACAACTTGTGATTGCTCACGATTGCGTGTGGCCCTTGGACCTGGATTGGCACTGCCAGTGCCAACCCTTGGTCCTTAGCTCCACGGATCCCAACCAACCCACAATTGTGGTTGCTTGGTCTACACGCAACCTCACCCATCGGCCAAATTGGTGGCCAATAGGGTTAGCTTCCTATTTTCACCCGTCTCTTGGCTCAACTCAATACAATGTTTTTTTAACCTTTTTAACACCTACCCCGTCGAAGCCTTGAAAGGAGGGTGCCTTACCCCATCGAAGCCTTGAAAGGAGGGTGCCTTACCCCATCGTAGTCTTGGAAGGAGGGTGCCTTACCTCATCGTAGTCTTGGAAGGAGGGTGCCTTACCCTATCGTAGTCTTGGAAGGAGGGTGCCTTACCCCATTGTAGTCTTAGAAGGAGGGTGCCTTACCCCATCGTAGTCTTGGCAGGAGGGTGCCTTACCCCATTGTAGTCTTGGAAGGAGGGTGCCTTACCCCGTCGAAGCCTTCAAAGGAGGGTGCCTTACCCCATCGTAGTCTTAGAAGGAGGGTGCCTTACCCCATCGTAGTCTTGGAAGGAGGGTGCGGACGCCTCGATGTGCACAATGACAGGCTGCTGCTGCACTGCCAGCATGAGCCCAAACCACCCGTAGAACCCCGTGCGCTCGATGCCGCGGATGCCATAGTACTTGGTGCTCGCCTGTAGGCAGGGAGGTGGAATACTGAGAGATGGCGGACAAAACATCGTACGGATGCCATAGTCTTAGAACTTAGGCTTAGAAGCGATGCATTAGTAATGAGCTTGAAGCTCTTTAAGTACATCCAAGAAGGGGAGGGAATGGATGGGGAAGGGAATCGGGGGCAATCCATAGGGATTGGGGGTAATCCTAAGGCAATCTCCAATTGGTGGGTTGGAGATTGCTTGGAGATTACATTTGGGTTTGGTTGGGATGTAGGTGTACACCCAACCAAACACAATGTGCAAACTACACTGCTCTAAGATATAGAAAATACAAAGTACACAGTGTGAGATTGAAGGCTAACACTAACACCCCCCCATAGGCGTCAATCGAACTTAGGGTAGAGAGGGTGGTGCACAGAGCCCCATGGCGCCTAGGAGACGGTGGTGGGGAACTTTCCCAAGGGGCTTGGTGAACAGATCAGCCAGGTTGCAGTCAGATGCTACGTATTCCACTTTCAGCTGCTCCTGTTGGACAAGATCACGGATGAAGAAGTGCCGAAGTTCAATATGCTTGGTGCGGGTGTGATACACAGGGTCTTGAGAGATGTGGATGGTACTCTGGTTGTCACACCAGAGGGTGGGGGCGGACTGTGGGAAATCAAGCTCCTGGAGTAGGAAGGTGAGCCAACGGGCCTCCTGAGCAGCCATGGTGCCTGCGTAGAGCTCTACCTCACAGGAGGAGAGGGAGACTGCAGACGACCTGGTGGAGCGCCAACTGACAATTCCGCTCCCAAGGGTGAAGCAGTACCCCTGAGAGGAGCGTCGGTCGGTCGGGTCATCAGCCCAGGAGGAGTCGGTGTAACCTTCCAGGCGAGGAGGAGAGAGCCCACTGAGTGTGAGAACGTGAAACTTGGTGCCCTGAAGATAGCGCAGCACCCGCTTCGCCGCCTTCCAGTGAAGATCAGTGAAGCGTCCAGGGGCCACGTAGCGAGAGAGGACACTGACAGGATAGGCCAAGTCCGGTCGGGTGCACATCATGGCGTACATGAGGGACCCAACAAGCTCCGGGTATGGCTCAGAGCAGGCCTCTGGGGTGGGTACAGCTGGAGCAGTGAGGAGGTGTTGCAGCGGCAGCGGGGTGGCAACAGGTGTGCACAGCTCCATCTCAAACCGCTTGAGCACATTGTCGATGTAGAACTCCTGGGAGAGTGAAATGGTGCGATCCTGGCGATCACGAGTGATCTCCATCCCCAGGTAGTGCTTGAGGTCACCGAGGTCTTTCATCTGGAGAGCCTTGCTCAGGGCTGCCTGGACAGAGGTCATCTGGGCCGAGTCCTTGGCAACGAGGATGAAATCATCCACGTAGACCAGGATGTAGAATGGCTCAGAGTGACGGCGGATGAAGAGAGTCGGGTCAGCAGTTGAAGGGTGGAAGTCCAGGGAGAGGAGGACTTCTTTCACCTTGTTGTGTCATTCGCGAGGGGCTTGCTTAAGACCGTAGACGGGGCGATTCAGCTTCCAGACAGTGTTGGGAGGGAATTCTCCTGGGAAGCCTTCTGGTCTATCCATGAACACCGTCTCCTTGACACGTCCTTGTAGGAAGGCGGATGAGGCATCCATGGATTTGATCTCAAAGTCTTCTCGAGCTGCGACATCCATGAGCGTACGAATGGTGGGAGGTTTGGATATGGGGGTGAAGGTTAGGAAGAAGTCGCGGTACTGCTGCTGGGTGAAGCCCTTGGCTACGTAACGCGCTTTGAACACCGGGGCCTCGTCTGGGAGCTGTTATACACGGAACAACCACTTGCCCCCAACAATGTTGACTCCTGGAGGTGGTGTCTCGTCGTCGAAGGAGTGGTTGCGGGTGAATGCTGCAATCTCCGCTTCCATGGCAGCACGCCATTCGGCAACATGAGGGCCTGAGAGAGCCTCTTGGACGGTGAGAGGGATAGGGATGGTCGGGTTCTCCGCGAAGTTGAGGGAGGGTGAGTCAGTGATGTCGGGGAAGATGTGCGAGAGCTGAAGAATGACTGCATGGAGATCACATAGCTCCTCATGCCTGTCTTCCACAAGGGTAGAGGGCACATCCCTAAAGGTGTAAAAACGAATACGGTTTCGAATACGATTTTTTATACGAATATTTTACGAGTAGTAGGCAATTTCGTATTTGGCCGAATAGCCCTCTTCTACCGAATCCGAATACGGTTCAAATAGCTGGTTCACGAATATTGTTCGAATACCTAGACCTATGTCAAATACGAATACGAATACGGTTTTTACCATACACAGAACCTTGGGTCAGGGTTCTTAATAGGCCGTAAGCACTGCCGGTGCTTCAATTGCTGATGATATGAGTGAAACATAAGAAACAAACCTTCATAAATCTAGGAGCATACCGATTGAAATAGTCGAATACTTATACGAATATTCGAATATTCGGCTGGCGAATACCGAATATGTCGAATAGTCAGTTATCGAGTAAAAGTCGAATAGGCAGTGATTTCGTATTCATTTTTTATTTGGTATTTGTCGAATACCGAATACGAATACGAATATGCTGGTATTCGTTTACACCTTTACACATCCCCCCCAGCAGGAGGAGGCGGTGTGATCGCCGTGTATTGAAGGACCAGCGCTAGTGGAAGAGCCGCGCCATGCGAACGAGTGCCATGAGCCACCGGAGAGGAGGGTGGGGCAGGCGGTGTCGGAGGGGTTGACTTAGGAGGCTTGGGCGGGGGAATGGGCCGCCGGTGGTACGTGATCAGCTCGGGCGACTGTGGGAGAGCGGGTTCCTCTGTGGTGGGGGGAACCGGGGGAGGAGGTGGGACCGGAGGGTGGGACCGCCGATGGTAGGTGATAGGTGCGCTCGGAGGTGGCTGCACAGTCGGTGGAGTGGAAAGTGAGGGGGATGGAGGAGCAGCTGCCGAAGACACCGGTGAGGGCGGGTCAGAGACCGCAGAGGGTGACGGTGCGGTGGTAGGAGGGGTAGGGGGTGAAGGGGCCGGAGCAGGCGAGAGGTCAGGAGGCGCATCAAAGTCTGCCCACACGAGGGAGGGTGGGTCAGGGAGAGGGTCCCGTCCCGAAGTGGAGTAGAATGGGCGGGTCTCATCAAAGACAACGTCGCGGCTCCGGACCAACTGCTGAGTGGAGGGATTGAGGAAGAGGTAGTCAGGCGAGTCGGCGTTGTGTCCGAGGTAGATGCATGTCTGGGTCTTGGGACCGAGCTTGCCGCCGTGCTCCCGTCGAGCCTGAGGGTTGAGGAGGACATAGGCGGTGCACCCCAAAACGCGAAGAGAACGAGCAGTGGGCGGTTTCCCGAGCCAGAGTGTGGTTGGAGTGGTGTCGAGAAGATGCGGTTGGGGGTAAGGGTTGTAGAGGAGGGCGGCGTGGTAGAGAGCGTACCCCCAGAGAGAGTGTGGAGCGTTGGAGTGGCTGAGGAGGCACCGAGTGATCTGCACCAGGGTGTGGTTGCGGCTATCAGCTATGCCGTTCTGCTGCGGGCTGTCAGGGAGGGTGAAGTTTTGCTGGATGCCTTCTGAAGAGCAGAAGGCTTTGAGCTTGTCGTTGCAAAACTCACCACCACCATCTGAGTGGAGGCGCTTGACTTTGTGGTCAAATGCGGTCTGTGCCTGTTTAACCCACGCCATGAGGACCTCTGGAACCGCAGCCTTAGTGTGGAGGAGGTGAACAGAGACGTAGCGAGAGTGGTCATCGACGATAACAAGGAAGTAGCGATAACCACCTCGTGCGGGAACAGGGGCAAGGCCCCAGACGTCCAGGTGTACCAAGTCCAGTGATCCTGCTGCAACAGAGGGTGAGGCCGGGTGGGGCTGTTGACGCAGTTTGCTCTTGGTGCAGTCAAGGCACGTGGGAGCGGGGGAGTCTAGTGGTGGAGGAAGTGAGGCTGGCAGGCCGAGTAGAAGTTTCTTGGAGGCCATGTCAGCAAGTGTGCGGAAGTTTGGGTGCCCGAGCCGATGGTGGTAGAGTATGGTCAGGTTGGAGAAACTGCGGCACGAGCATGGTGAGGTAGTCGCCGCTGTTTGGGTGGTTGACACCTGTGGGATGGGTACTTGCAGCGTGTAAAGGCCGCTGCTGTTGAGGGTGAAACGAGTCAAGACCTTGTTGGTGAGTGGGTCGAGGATATCACCATAGTTCTCGTTCTCCCAGAAAATGGTGCGTAGTCCAGCTTCCTGAATTTCCGTTTGGGCCACGAGATTGTGGCGGAGTGAAGGCACGCACATTCCAGTGACAGTGCCGGAAGGGAAGGCGGGGCACGGGACTGTGGATGAACCCTTGGCATGAGTGGTGAAGCTTGAGTCAGCTCCTAGGAGAGGGATGGGTGTTGCGCATGGTTTGAAGGAGAGTGTCTCCTTGAGTACAGTGTGTGTGGCGCCGCTGTCGAGTGTGAACTCTATGTATTGTGGTGCTTGTGATGAGCCGAGGTACTGGGAGGAAGCTTCATTAATCATGGCAGTGCCAGGGAACAACGGGTTGATACGGGCATCAGCAGGAGGAGCACTATCACTAGCACTAGCCGAAGCGGGGTCCTGGACCTCAACCAGGTTGGCCTTACGCGCACGCATGCAGTTCGGTGGCCTCTTGTCTATGCCGTGGATGGCGTACCATTCGTCGTCCTTCTTCTTGAAGCACGTAGCAGGGGGGTGGTTAGTGCCACCACACACTTGTCCCTTGCGGTTGCCATACTTGACGACGTAGGTGCACGGTGGGAAGCGGTTGCGCTGGAGGGGCACCGAGGCAAGGGCCGATGCGACACTGGCTTGAGGCATGGGAGCACGGATGGCGTAAGCCTTGGCCTGAGCCGTGGAGTCTTTCTCGGCAGAGAGGAGTGCGGTGGAGACCTTGGCAAAAGTGAGGTCTTCTGCAGTCAGCGTGAGGAGCATCTTCCTTGTGATTTCATAGGTTGTGGTGAGACCAACGAGAAGGGCTACTGCAGGGGCCAGTTCGGGGAAGACTATACTTAGCTCCTTGAGTTCGCCATGAATGGTTTGAACCTTGGCAATGTAGTCGGCCATTCCCGAGCAATGCTCAAGGCGGACCTGGAACATGCTGAGGATGAGGATGGCAACTCCGACTGCAGTCTTGTTCATAAACCGATCCTGGAGATACTTCCAGATGGCGTTGGAGGTAGGGTAGTTATGGAACGTGTTGACAAGTTCTGGAGGGGCGGAGGCGATGAAGACGCTGATAATTGCAGCATCAGCCTTCTCCCACTTCCGGTACTTCTCAACGGCTTCCTCATATGCCTTTGTGTCAGCCTCACTAGCGGATTCGGTCGGCTCGCGAGGGAGAAGGGGCTGTTTTCCCTTGCCACGGTTGAGGACATCCTTGAGGTCCAATCCCTGCACGTCACAACTCAGCAGGTGCTTGTCAACCCCATAGCTCCATGCCTTGAAGTCGGAGCTAGAGCCATCGGCGTCAAGACGGAGTGGGGTGATGGGGTTGGCCATGGTGGACGAGGCGAATGCCATGATGGAGATCCCTTAGGATGTTGCGCGGAGCGCCGCTCTTGAGTCAACGATAGGAACTTGAGGTTTGGGGTTTTCGAAGGAGATTTTGAAGAACCGGAGGTTTAAGGTTTACGAAAGAGAATTTTGAGGTTTAGGGTTTCTGAAGGAGAATTCGACTAAAACGCCAATTTAGTGTCAACTACCTACTAGTCCTATTCCCACACACCCCCCCACACACCACCCTCAGCTTCTCGGCTGCGCTGCTGCTCGGCTTCGCGGCTACACGGCTGCTCGGCTTCGCGGCTACGCTGCTGCTCGGCTGCGCTGCTCGGCTGCGCTGCTGCTCGGCTGCGCTGCCGCACCTGTTCAGCTGGGGGAAAGGGAGGGGGATGGGGGTAGGAGTGCAGATGCGGAGCGACGGGCGGCAGCCCGAAGGTGAAGCTGCAGGGCGACGAGCGGCGACCCGACGAGAAGCTGCAAGGCGACGGGCGACAGCCCGACGAGGAGAAGGAATGACGCGATGATGTTCGACGAAAACGAGCGATAGGTTAAAGCGCCGACGATGCGCTTACCAGTGAGATAGTAGATGCCGTCGAGAGTGACGGGAAAGTGGTGCGGAAGAATTTCCGCCCATGAATGTCGCGAATCAACGGCAACGAGATTGAAGGCGGTTACGCCGAGGTTTGCGGGACGAACATCCGCAGAGATAAGAGGATCACGATCCGCGTGTGCGGTTTGAAGGGATCTGATACCATCTTAGAACTTAGGCTTAAAAGCGATACATTAGTAATGAGCTTGAAGCGATACATTAGTAATGAGCTTGAAGCGATAGGTGGGCGACACTAGGAGGCCATCAAAAGGTGGCAAAAGCACAGTGAACTGTAGCAGACCAGACCAACCAACAGCCGCTCACTAACCAGCGATCTCCCCTTGAGGGGGGGGCCTTGCGAGTACACTGCGTCCTCCAGCAGCCCCTTGCGCTGGGCAGTGGCGTTGAGGAGGAACTGCAGCGCCTTGGTAGGCGAGCCACCATCGCAGTTGGAGGAGAGGGCGAGGCGCAGATGCTCCACCGACAGTACGGGGGGCTGCGCCCAGTTGCTCGCGATCCTGTGGGCTGCCTCCACCGCTGCCACCACTGCGTATACCCAGCAGTCACCTGTATCGCATGAGCGGGGCCACAAGGGATCACATCCATACACTCTCATACTGTAATACGAATGGTGAGTTGTGGCAGGTTGTTCTCAAGATAGCTTGTAAGAAAATGCTCTCATGACATGCACAAAGGCTTTTAGGCATGAGCAGGGGGCGAACTCAAACATGTTCGTGTTCGCCCCCGGACGAACATGGCCTTCTGCCGAACCGAACAGTGTTCGGTTCGGCGAACGAATTGAGTGAAAATAGGTGTTCGCCGTTCGCCCTAGGAGGCGAACGAATTGCTGCAACAGGCGAACACGAACATGTTCGTGGCGAACATTTTCGTGTTCGCCCAGGGGGAAATTTAATATAGAGTAAAATTCAAATCGTCGCACATTCTCTCCCCCCACCTCCCAAGCTAGTCCCGCCCTGCTTCATCCATCTAGTGCCAGCGTGCAATGGCGAAATGCTAGATCCGCACTTAAGCAGCAGCGAAATGCTAGATCCGCACTTAAGCAACGGCGAAATGCTAGATCTGCACATAAGCAACGGCGAAATGCTCGATCCGCACTTAAGCAACGGCGAAATGCTAGATCCGCACTTAAGCAACGGTGAAATGCTCGATCCGCACTTAAGTAACGGCGAAATGCTCGATCCGCACTTAAACAACGGCAAAATGCTCGATCCGCACTTAAGCAATGGCGAAATGCTAGATCTGCACTTCACTAACTGCGAAAGGCCAGATCTGAGCCCAAACACCAAGGCCCGCGACCTAAAAATTGGTCGCGGGCCTATTCGTCGACGAACACATTGGTGTTTGTCGAAGGCCCGTGTCGAACACGAACACGTTCGTGTTCGACGCGCCTCGACGAGCTGAGCCGGGCGAACGGCGAACGTGTTCGGGCGAACACCGAACACGTTCGGCCCGAACAATTTTGGCCAAAAAATTCGAGGCGAACCGAATAGGAGTTCGTCATATTGCTCATCCCTAAAGGCTTTGTGTCACATGCCCCGTGCTGCTCTCTTCCACCCGCTCGCTAACTTCGCTGGGACGCACAAGAAATGTGCATGGGAAGGGCAAGGTGCATAAAGTAAGTACGACCTTTAATCTCACTCAATGCGTGGCTATTTGTGGCTTCTTTGGCGCATTCTGTTCTCTCATCTCAAAAACCCCCTCATCCCAAATTTCAGCTCCAAGCCAAACCTTGCACCTATCCTGCTGTTTATCCCATGTGTCCATACGACTCACCACAGCCCCGTTGGTTCTTGACAGGCCAGGCGGATTCAGGCAGGACCCAGGTGCTGTAGGACTTGACAGTCCACGCGGGGCTGTTGTCCTGCGCGGGGTCAAAGCCCGCACTGGCGTAGTGGAAGGCAGCATTGAAGCCCCGTGATGAGAAGGAGTCCTCGTCCAACACAAACCCCAACGCCAGGTCTGGTGGGCGGAGGAAGGGGTGTTGGGCGTTGGGATGAGAACGCAGTGTTACAAAAACAGTGTTGAAAGCCAAGAGGAGCAATCAGTGAAAGGAATGCAGTCACATATGGTGACAAAGAATAAAAGGCAAGCGTACTCACTTGAAGGGTCAAAGCGCGGGTTAAGCGGAACATCTGCAACCACAGCGGCAACCACATGGATGGAGTGGCACGCGGCAAACAGTAACAGAAGGCATTAATGTGAAGCCATAACTCGGTTGCATACAAGCAACACGAGGAACAGGAAAGGTTTCAGCCTGACCAGAAAGTGTACACTCAATTCAACACCACAAATTGGAAGGTAAATCAAACACAGTTGGATTGGAAGCACCCCTGACTATGGAAAACAGAGTCGCGAACATGGAAATTTCAATCGGGTAGGCACAACAACGTGGAAACAGTTATTTTAAGCTAAGATGGGAGTTTCAAAGCTCGGTGGCTCAATCCGCACGATTTTCTCTTGACTTATTGATACAAAATACAGAAAAAATGGTACTAAACATCTTCCAATACATTCTAAGATGGTACAGAATCATGAACCACCAATACGAGATTGAAAGCGTCCTCTGTTTAGCAAACAGTATACTGACACGACATGTCATAAGCAAGCAGCCATAAAACAAACGGGTGGGTGCTTAGGCACGCGCACATCCCCAACTGTGGGTTCGGTTCAAGGCAAACCCAGTTGAAAGGAAAACCCCTCTAGGTCGGGCAACCAAGCTTTGACAGGAAAATGCATTTCTGGAACGTTGGAACTCACTTCACTTCTTTGTTCAAACTCATCGATCAAATCGACTCAGTCGAGTCTTTATCGAAAAAGAAAGAAAGAAGTTCCACTACTGAAGTTGAGCCCATAGCTGTTGAGCCCATAGCTGTTGAGCCCGTAGCTGTTGTTGCTAGTTAATGGCGTCATGAGTAGAGTCCAAGTTCCAGCTAATTTGGTTTGACAGTGACCACAAGTTGACCTGGTTTGACCTGCAGCACTTCGCCTTTTGGCTTTGCTAAGGCTTACTTGAGAGGCACACACCTGCAGTGAAGGTCCAGCTGAGGACGGAGTGTGCTTGTGGGGCAGCGGTAGACGACGCTGTGAAGCCGACGTAGAATGCAGCAGCTGACGCCTTGGGCTGCAGGATGGAGCAGAGCGACACTCGAGCTCGAAGCACTGGGGTGGGGGGCTGGTCGGGGTCGGAGGAGAGGAAGACTCGGAGGGTGCCGCCGCTGGTGGGGTCGTAGTGGATCCAGGCGTGCTTGGTGTGGCCGTCGTTGAGGATGAGAGGGGCCGTGGCAGAGGCGAGGGACACAGGTGAGCCGCCCACATTGACGCCCACGTGGTTGTCGTTGGGGTCGCTGTGCTTCACACTCAGCACCGAGTCAAACTCCACCGCCACACTCCGCTTCCCCACCCCACCCAGCCGGTCTGGCAGCGCCGCAGCAACGACAAACACGAGCCCATCCCCGCCCGCCTCCGCTTCCGGGTCGAGAGAGAAGGCAAGAGATACGTTGAAGGCGAGCTGGTAACCGCATGTGGCCTTGGTGTTGAAGTAGGAGAAGAGGGGGAGAGGCGCGGCTGTGAAGGCCGTGCCCCAGGTGGCGTTGGCCTTGGGGGTCAGCAGCAGCGCCCCACCAGCAGAGGTCAGCGCCGAGCCACTCAGCACCATTGGGGTGGCGGTAGAAGAGACCACCACGGGGTCAACTGGAGGTGGGGGAAGGAAGGGGGGGAAGGGGAATGGGGGATGGGGAAGAAGAGAGATGGCTTGATGCAAATCGTGGTGAAGTGTCATGATGGCGGGTGATCTAGGTAATACACTAGTTTGGCCACAAGCCGAACCCAGGCCACAGCATTATATCATGAGCAAATATATTACATGGCCTGCTTTTGAGTCGACTCAAAAGCGAATATATTACATGGCCACATCACATTCATACTGCTTACTCGTGTATGTGCATGTGTGAGGGTCGTTTCGAGTGGAGTAGTGCTCTTCACACACACACTCAGCCACACTGTTACTGTCATTCTTGAAGCAGTAACCATGCCCACTGCATAGCTCCCCGCCCTGCCCCACCCCACAGAATGCAGCGCAGCTCTCCTTGCTGCGCTGCTCATGGGTGAGCCCACACAGGGTGGTGGTGGTGGAGGGCAGGCAGTTGTCAAAGAGCCAGAGGCGCACAGCGGAGCAGTTCTTGGGGCGGGTGGGGGCAGAGGAGAAATAGTTGCTCTGCACGTCCACAGTGGCCAGGCCCTTGGAGGCTGGCATGGGAACTGCTCCTGTGAACTGGTTGGACGACACGAGCCTGTGGGCACCAATGGGGATGGTCATTAGGGATGAGCAAGGTGGCGAACACCTGTTCGGTTCGCCTCGAACGTGTTCGAGGCGAACCGAACAGGCTTTGTTTTTTAGCTCAAATCGTTCGCCGAACAGTGTTCGATGTTCGCCCGAACACGTTCGTGTTCGGGCCGCTGCTGAAATTTGCCCGCGACGAACACGAACAGTGTTCGAAGTTCGCCCGAACACGCCTCCACAGGCGAACAGCGAACACCTGTTTTTTCCTAAACTGTTCGCCGAATCGAACAGTGTTCGGTTCGGCAAAAGAGGGTGTTCGACAAGGGGCGAAGACGAACATGTTCGTGTTCGCCCTTTGCTCATCCCTAATGGTCATGGTGGTGATGGTGATGGTGGTGGTGATGGCAATGGTGGCAGAAAGAGTGATCAAAAGCGACATGGAGTGAAATAGAGTAAATGTAGGGAGATTTAAAGAAGTTCTCATGTCTACGGTTGAAAGAGAGATCAAATTTAGCAAAAAACAACGCCTAGGTAGTGACGAGAATCCTGCTTGTTTTATGAAGGAATGTAACAAAGATAAGTATGTCCGCAACCTGCTTCTTTTAGAAATGACAGATCGTACAGTCTGATAATAAGAACTATCCAGTAAGCAGTGGTTGACAGCAAGAAGCTTATCAATGGCACGAGAAACAAAAGAGAGCGAAAAATTGAATCAGGGAAATGGGACTGTGATGAGATAGAAGCAGAAGCACTGAGCAGGAACGATGCTCACATAAACGCATATGCTTACAATTGCTGAAGGTTTGTCATGGGAGTCACGACAGGTGCCAAGGGTCCTGATAGGAATGTGGAAGTCAGCTCTCTGCAACACATATCCAATCATGGGATTGGAAACTCAGCAAGCACACACAGCTGCAGTGTGCCCTACAGTTTTAGCTGCTGTATAGATTTGGGGTGGAATGTTCCTCACCAGAATACCATCCCTTGCAGTTCTCTTGATGCGTCCTTCAAGCTTCAGCAATCGTCACTTTTCAAACCTTTGATTAAATATCATTTTCTGCCATCTGGTGCGAGATCGACTCAACCTGGATCAACCAGCTTGCATCTACATAACATTTGCTTGGGCATACAGCCGTTTACTCTACATATATTAGATGAGCAAACTTGAACATTTTGGATCCAAATTGCAATAGTTCCACTTGATCCCCTTTATACCTTCAGGACCCAAACATCGAACTATACGCTGTTTAGGATGAAACATAGGCTGAATCAGAGCAATTAGGTTCAACTGTGCCCCCCGGTCCGGTTTGACCAAGTTCGACACGAACAAGTCTGGTTTTCCTCGTGGATGTAGGGATGAGCAAAGGGCGAACACGAACATGTTCGTCCTCGCCCCTTGTCGAACACCCTCTTTTGCCGAACCGAACACTGTTCGGTTCGGCGAACAGTTTAGGAAAAAACAGGTGTTCGCTGTTCGCCTGTGGAGGCGTGTTCGGGCGAACCTCGAGCACGTTCGTGTTCGCCACGGGGCGTTCTGCAGCAGTGCCACAAACACGAACGTGTTCGGGCGAACACCGAACACGTTCGGGCGAACGATTTAAGCTGAAAAACAAAACATGTTCGGTTCGCCTCGAACGTGTTCGAGGCGAACCGAACAGGTGTTCGCCACCTTGCTCATCCCTACGTGGATGTAAGCACTTGACCAGTCATCACATAAAAACACATGGTACGCCTGATGTGCGGTGGTGTGGCTTACAGAAACAGAAGCTTCTGCAGTGAGCTAAATGCCAGTGGCACGGGACCATGGATGCGCAAGTCATGGAGCACACTGCACAGATGGGAGAAGAGGGTGCTGATTCGTTTAAACACATTGGCCATTGCGAAGTGCCATTAACCAAGCATATGAACTTGAGGAGTAAAAAAGCTACTCGATGAGACGAATTTTCTACAACGAACGTGCTAGTGAGATTAGTGTAGATTTTGCCAGCACTGAGATGGGAGAAAGGGGTAGTATCTCTTACAATATGAGGGGTTGGAGAGCTGCTGTGATATCGCTACCCATATACCTGCATGCCTATATCTTCATTGAAACCCATACGAAGGACCTTTTGAGACAAAGAAATGAAGACTGAAAGCCTTACAAGCCTCGTAGATTCGTAAGACTGGCCAGTGATGATGGAATGGTGCCGGTGAAGTCATTTACGCCAAACGACCTGGCAGTAGGGGAGGCGTGAAGATTAAGCAGGTGAGAGATAAAGAATCACACTGCAGGGCACGCTCAAGGTCGGATCGCAGCACAAGGGAGTGGAAGAAGACGGTCCCATTCCATTCCACTATTCCAGGGGCAAGCTCACAGGTGGCTCACAGGTGGCTCAGCTGAGTCAAGGCTCCAAGGGAAGAAGGGATGCTTCCTTCAAAGTGGTTGTATTCTAGATGCCTGCAAAGGTGATGGTGTGTGGTCATGTTTTTTACTGGTAGCAAAATTCAGAAACAAACAGCGAGCATGCGCATCTGCAAGGGAGTGTAAAGAACGGAAAGGGCAAGCATACTCCTTTCACAGCTCCAAGCAAACAAGAACCAACCAGGTCCTCATCTTGCTCGAAATGCTTTTCCGCTTATTCAACTCACATGTTGACTTGTCAATTACCAGTTATTTGGAAGAAAAGTGGTCGAACGAAACCTGAACATATTTATGTGAACAATCTCAAACTAGCTGACTAGTTGATCCAACGGTTGCATAGAGGCTCAGGCCTTTTATAAGTTCAGGCATCTTGCCGGTTTGAATCGAACGGATTGGGTCAGTTGGAATCGGCCTCCACTAGTGTCCCCTTGGACATAGTTTCGCCAAACAAAAATTAACGACAACCGGTTAAAGGGCTTTGTATGGATTAAAGGAAAACATTACGAGTGCCAGAAACACAAAAAATGTGAAGAATGAAATGCGAGAATGCCCTGAAGTATTGGGAGAGCATGCAGGTTTCAGCGCCAAACCAAAGAGCACTTTGACTAGGGCGACTCGTGCCGGTTTCACTGGTTGGTTGGAGTCAAACAGGAAAGCCGAAAACACATGGTTCGATTTGGTGCTCATGGGAAAGTGCAAGATTAATGGCTCATAAAACCCACAAACAATGGTGACCAGGCACAAGAAAATGGACGGCTTATTTGTGTCGGTTGGGACAGGCAGAAAGAGGTGCCATTAGTCATGTCTATGTACACAATACATGTGCGCTGGGGTGCCAATCCAGCCCTATGGTGGTGGTGTGGTGTCTACACTTGAAGCATAATTGGCTGCGTTTGGTGTGAAGGACAAACCAGTAACAGTAAGCCACCACAAGTGGTGAGGTCAGTCTAACCAGTATCATTGGCGACTTCACTTCACCCACAGTTTGCGGCCAATGGTTCCCCAGCCAACTTCCTGTGTATGCTCTCTACCTCAGGGGAGGAAGCAATGTAGCAGCAAAATAGGCATTATAACAGTGTGAGGGGCAGGGTCCATACGAAGTGCTTACAGGCGTGACAGTCGTTGCAGGTGGAAAAGGGAATCAGGAAGATGACCTTTGAACCCATTGTGGTCCACAGCCCTTGAGAGGACGAGAGGGCACCCAAAAGGAACAGCATGCAGATACAGAGTGGAAAACAGATAGCATGACTACGAGTATCAAGGGGAAAAATATGTAAAGTGAAGAAAGTGGATCGGTGAACTTAGGGCACGATAGGAAGAAGAAATCTCCTTAGCAAGAAAATGGTACAAGTCTTAAAGACTAGAGCAAGGTCCTTGTCAAGGATGATCCCTAGTGAAGTGGGAAGCCACATATATGTGGCTGAACTCTTGAGGCTAGCTGCAGCACCTCAATGCTGAGGGCTAGGCTAGCCAACCTTGCCAAGCTAGCAAGTGAGGCCACATGTTGCACATGTGGGCTAGGCTGGAACAACAGCCCACATGACAGCATATGGCACACCATAGAGGCCAGCAAGGTGAGTGTGGGATGAGTGGACAGGTGGCAATGCCAACTGTGACCACACTTCACTGTGGTGGAGTGTGGTAGAGTGTGGACATGTAATGTGGAGCATAATGAGAATGGAACCTGCAGCTACTGAGAATTGAACCCACAACATCTAAGACCACAGGTGAGAATCTACCCTCTGGGACATATTTGCTGCACAACACCCCCCCTCAAGGATGTCCCCGGGGTAGGGTTCTTCAAGCGGAGACATGGGTGAGACCTAGAAGACCACGGATGCGAAGAAAAGGGTCACGGGGCAAAGGTTTGGTGCCAATGTCAGCGAGGTTGTCTTGAGTAGGAACATAGTGAAGGGTGACGGAGTGGTCGGCGACATGATCACGAATGAAATGGTGCTTAATATCGATGTGTTTGGCCTTGGGATGAAAGACACCGTCGTCCTTGGCCAGAATGATGGCGCTGCTGTTGTCACACGAGATGCGGGTGGGACCGGGTGGGGGAAGTCCAAGTGCAGTAAGGAGGGATCGAAGCCATAAGGCCTCATGCACCGCGGTGCCCAGAGAATAGTATTCAGCTTCACATGAGGAGGTAGCGACGACAGCTTGACGTTTGGACTGCCAAGAGATGAGTGACGGACCGAGGAAGAACAAGTAGCACGTAACGGAGCGTCGGAGCTCGCCCTCCGGTCCCCAAGAGGCGTCACACCACCCATGGAGTTCAAGGGTGTTGGGAATGCCGCCAAGGAGAAGCCCGAGTGAGGTAGTCCCTTTCAAGTAGCGAGCAACGCGTTTGGCAGCCGAGACGTGAGGAGTAAACCAATCATGAAGGTGACGAGCAAGAAATCCAGCGCTATATGCGAGGTCGGGACGTGAACCCACCATGGCATACATGATGGATCCGACAAACGAGGTGTAAGGAAAGGAGGAGGAGTGTGGTGAGGAAGTCACGGGCGGCTGAAACTTGGTGTCCATGGGGGTGGCAGCAGGGTTAAATGGTGTGAATGAGTAGGTGTCTACGATGGAGGTGATGAATTTGGATTGATGAAGGTGGAGAGTGCGTGAGGTCCGATCATGA